TTATTCACGGACTCTTCTGCCCACTGATCTTCCAGACTTAATCTGTGATATTCTTTGGTTGGCCTTTGGATGTCGTCGTTGTTGGTGACGTGATCGTGGCAAACAGACTAAGCGGTACAGTTGAGACAGCGACGCATTCGTACGACATTTTTAATGTGGTCATTTTTTGCCAGGAATGCTCGGAAACTTCTAGTTTTTTTGGCGCAGCATTCACTTTATTAAAATTTTATTGCAGGATTGCTGTATTAGGTCTTATAAAACAAATATTTTGGTAGTCAAAATAAAAATAGGCTTTATTTTCACGTGCTGACTTCAACAAGTCTGGTTTCTGCCGCCGGTTCGGTATCTTGTGGCTTTAGATCATTTCTGTAGTTGTAATTTTTAATAAAATGTTTATTTAAAACAGTAGTAGGCTAAATGATACTAACAGGAAGATCTATTCGTTTTTCAATTCATGCTTCAAGATTAGTTTATAAGAACAGTGTCAAATTATTTACTTGTTATTATTCTAGTTATTGTAATAATAATTATCGTTTTTCACAAATGATGAAAAACTGTAAGAGCGGCACTGTTAGTATACAGCCAGTGAAAGATGAATTAAGCCAGTAATTGCATTTTTGATTGAACCTTCTATGATAATGATAGACGTTAATATGTAAGAGGTTTAATGACTTAAACGTGAATGAAAATTTCTCAATACCCTTACGATGGAGCGAACAGATCATGAGCGTAAAATGGAAGTTTTCTCTTTCGGCATCATTTATTTTGTTTATTAGAGCTCGTTTAACGCAGCTTGTGGCTTTGACTCCTATTGTTCCTTGGCTTAGTTCTAAGTTTCATGAAATTTTTCCGGCTTTAACCAGGAGTCTTCCTACGTTTGATGGTTCTCCCACCAGTTAACCATCCTGAATGAAAGATTGTTGCGGAGTTTGAAGAATCGGCGCGGTTCTTGGTTTCATTTCAAAATTATTTAACAAATAATAATCAAACGGTTTCAGCGCTGATAATTTTCAGTTTCAGTCTATTGTAAGTGTTAATTATTTCGAAACTTCCGTTACAAAGTTTAGCTACTGTAACAAAATTTAAATCTAGGCGGTAAATGCGTTTGATTCGAAAAGATTTAAGGTTTAAAGACTGGATTGCAGTGGAGGTCTTTGTTGTAAATTATGGTTTATATAATATTAATTACCTGTAAGGCTTCCATAGTCGAGGTTTCGGGTCATATTCTGGGACAGATGGTTGATATGACGACTGAACTGAATGTCAGGAAAACTCTCAGCACTAAGGAAAAAAGGTTGTCATTATTGAAATGTCTGTCCTTGTTAATTTTCATGGTTGCTAATTTTGGCGCTCCTGTTTAGAAGAAGTTGATACTCTGGAACTGATCTCCGTTTCCCTGCCATCCGACAGGAGTGCCTTAATCTTTTTAGTGGCAGAGTCTACAGCCATGTCGCAAGCGTAGGGCAGTAGGCGTCTGCCATGTAGTCTGCTGTCTCCAACGGTGTGCTATTCATTTATCAACCTCGGAATGAAGAGAAGCAAGTGACCCACCTAGGGGTTTGAACTCAAGACCTATTGGTTCTTACTTCGACTGGCTGCCGATTGAGCAACTTCATCTGCAGCAGTCCTGTGTAAGTTACTTGCTCGTTGGGAAATCGTGAATAAGACAAATATTGCAATAGAATGGAATATAACCGTAACTCCGGTGTTCGAAGCACTTCTCTTAGACGAATGGTGCCCACAGCCATAACTCTTTTAGAAGTTCGATTGTTCCTAACTTGTTCCGAGTCCTGATAGCCCATTTATAATTGTTTGCTAAGTTGCCGACAAACTTGAGCTCGGCACTTGGGTAACATATTTAACGATTAGTCATTTTCATTTGCTTTTTCCAGAAACTATTTCAAAGTAGTTCATATGGTCGTGATCTTTGGCAGTTTTTGTTTCTGCATCAGTTCGCAGTTCTGTAAGCCTTACAAGATAACGAAATTTCAGCTGCCTCCTAAAAACTGCGAGCTGACGCTGAAATTAATTTGCGTTCCATAAAATCGACCCTTAAGTACTCTTGGTATTTTTTCTACGTAATGGTGATCATACGCAAATGCTAGCCCTGATTTTCAGTCAAACATGAAGAAGATATCCACGTCAGCCAGTGGCAACCGTATCCTGCGATTGAAACAAATAACACAGTAATGAAGCTTCAATGGAGTGCCGTTGCTGTTGTTGCGTTACATTGAGCAGAGTTACCTGGTTTCTTCCTACCTGCATCTTTTGTCATTAATCAAAATTCATCTTTGTCATTAATTAATTAATCATGAATCATCTTATCTTGGTAATGCTGTACTATAAATAGTTTCTGCCATTTTCTCCATTTAAATCATTCCAACTCATCTGTTTTATGACGATGAATCTTTGAACAATTCATGGTTCGGGGCACCAAATCCAACAGATGGTAAAAGTCTTTAATGC